CCAACAAAACTCAAAAGATTCAAATTATTTCTCTCTCTACACCAATGAATCTTTGCAACATTAATACCCCATCTATGCCAATATTTATCGACACAAAGTCAAGCTTCAAAATATGAATTTCAGGGCTATATTTCATCATGAGTTCAAGATCCAGTCGGAGGGGTTCAACAAATAGCAATAGCAATGTGTGTATCATCGACAACAACAACACGTTTGTTTCTTTCTTTTCAACAGAACAAAGTGTCATTTTGTCTACGTTCAAACCAAGCTTCTGAGTAAAGTTTCAAATTCAGGAATTACAATATTCAAACATTCAATATTGTGATTTTAGCAACATCAGATTTTGAGTCAACAAAAATGCCTCAAGACTTGCCTCTATTTCAAGGAAAAAATCAACGGAGGTCTATTCAAGTTTTATTTTCTTTAGCAATGAGCAGCAATCGACACATCAAGATTCACAAAATATATATATCAGATGTAGAGATTCTGAAATTGGGTTTATCACAAAGAAGGCTTCCACCATTTTTTTCTTTAAAAAAAAAAAATACAAAAAATACAAAAAAAATAAATTTTTGCTTGTCAATTTTTTCTGTAAATTGAAGTGCGTCATCAACTTTATCCATAGGCTCTGTCGTGACAAAATGTTTTTTTTTTGGGGAACGTGATGCGAAACAGGGACGAAGAAATGACAGTATGCATGTCTGAGAAATTTTAAATTTCTCATACATGCAAGGGGCAAAATGTAAGAGGAGCTAATTTGAGCCCACTAAATTATTTAGGCCCAATAGCCCAAGATTAGTGGGCCCGAATTTATCGCAAGTCCAAGAATCGGTGGGCCCAGATTTATCGCCATCAAACGGATTGAATCGCTCTAAGCCTCGAAAGGGTTCGGATCCACGAACCTAGAGACTTACTCAGGCCCGGAACTCGAAAGGGTATTAGGCAAGCCTAGAGATCCGAGGCACTCGGACTCGAAAGGATTCGGATCCACGAATCTAGAGATCCGAAACACCTGGCTTCGAACGGATTCAAACGCAATCTAGAAGTCGCTCCGTTAATGAGTCCCAGAACACTTGCGGGCTCGGAGCTTTCCGGGATCTACGCACCAGAACCATGGGCGTAATGGAGTTCGAACAAAGGACCCAATCCCGAGGACGGTGAGTGGAGATAAATTCACTCTTCGGTTAAACTAGCCTATACCCCAAGCTCATAGGTTCAAGATTCAACAAGGAGCACTAATTATTTCAAGACAAAAAAATTACAAGATTCAAGATCCAAATCAAATTTCCACACATTCAGAGTTCATCAGAGTATAAGGTTCATCAGATCCAAAAATATAAGAAGAATAAGAAGAGGGTTTTGGCAGAAAACAGTTTGCAGATCCGAATCAGTTTTGAAGAAATAAGAAAAATGGGCAGAAGCAAGCACTATGGAAGCAAGAAATAAGACCGAACCAAGCACCAAAATGGCCCAAGACAGTCAGAACAGGTCGGTGGCAGCACGTATCGCCAGCACGGACAGTGGACGAGAAAGGGTGCTAGATGGACCAACGACGTGTTGAAAGGGCGACGTGGTCCACGTTGATTAATCACTGCCGAATCCAGTGAGTATGCAAAAACCGAGATTCAAACTCCGAAAAAATAAATTAGAAAATAATATTATCAAACGATGTCACTTTTTTGGGCAAGAACATGCTTGTGGCCAAAATCCGGCTTCCAAAATTGAAAAACTTACTTTTTCTGAGAAAATGAACACTTTTAGCCAGTATTACTTTACACTTTAGCGTCAGCAGGTAATTAAGGGTGTTTTTGAGATAAGCCTTTTTTTAGCTTTTTTTTGTGAATTTTTTATTATTATTATTTATTTATTTATTTATTTTTTAAGATCCTTCTATATTAGTTGGACTTGAAAAGTAAAAAGAAATATAAATAAATAATACGAATTTTAAAAAGAATAAACTAAAATTTAAAAAGTTAAAAAAATACAACGATTTTTACTGGTCTCAAACTCTCGCCCTAAATATTTTTTGCAAAAGATAATTTGATCACAATGAATTGGCAAATTTGTCGCCCTGTCATACTTTTTTCTTTCCTCTCCCCCAAAAAAAAAAGTTCTTTGCTGAAAGTTCAAATATCATCTTGTGTGTTTTATTTGTGTCTTCATGAATATTTGTTGCTAAAATAATCAATGTTCGTGAAATTGGTTGTGTTTTTTGGAGGAATTAGTGTGTAAAGGGGATTGGATCTGGGGGGTTCATAGCTGAAAATTTATCATTTGAGGGACTCGTGGTCCTGTGTTTGTTTGACTAGATTAATCCTTTTTTATATGAGGATTATCTAATTCCACTCCCATTCCATGGGATTATTGGTCCTCTTTATATATGGTTGTAAAATATCATTTCCGTTATATACATTATAGATAATCAAATTAAATTCGACTTGATTAAAACTCTTTTAAAAAAGACTCGAAAGGTAAACAAACTAAATTTAAATACATTTTAAAATTATTTAAGTTTTCAAACTAAAGTAAAAATAAGAGTATGGGGAGGGAAGGGGAAGAGAGAGAGAGAGAAAGAGAGAGATGGGTGTTAACAAAAAAAGAAAGAAAAAAAGTCCATGTTTATTTTTGGACTTCTATTTTTGTTTGTCCTTTCAAAAAATTAGACAATTTAACAACTTTCATCATATTAGTAATTTTTTTTTTTTTGTTTTTTCATTTGGATTAGAAATCAAACATAACAAAACCAGGCCATATATTAATTATTGATTCACAGGTTGAAGAAATAACACCAATTCATATACAATTATCAAAGAGCAAACCTAACTCCCAAAAATGAAATAAAATGAAAGAAATAAAAAGCAAAAAGCCCAAACCCATTTTTTTGACATTTGTCACACGCATTAAATTTTTTATGACTTCATCCGACAAAATTAAATAAAAAAAATCTAATAAAAAAGCATTTTCCAAACCAATCTTAATTTAAAGCACTGCAAATCCTTCTTATGACCCCATCTTGTCCAGCGAGAGGCTTTTAATATCTCCCATTTTGATCATGGCCAACGCGAAATCAGAATTGAAGGTTGAAGGGTTTTTGCTATATTCCAAGACAATATTGTCCGTTGATCCTCCATTGAAAAGTACTTGATCACTTGGAAGTGGTGGATGACGCACACTGATATTAGCAATTTAGGAATGCATTCATTTTACTTTTTAGATCTATCTTGATTTGGTGCATTTAAAAAGTATAAAGAATTGATTCAAATATTTTAAAAAACAACATTAAAAATAAACAAAAACTCATTTAAAAACAAATTTTGAACCAAATGCAATCTTCTAGCTTGGCCTTTGACATTTAACTTTTTTCATGGTTACCATACTAATCAACCACAAACAATGCACATTCTTGGCTTATACTTGGACCACAGGGCACACCCAAACGATGGATTTAGAAAGGGGCAAGAGGGGCTGATTGCTCCCCCTTATGATTTCAAAAAACTCTTTATATATTAGTATGAACAATTAATTATTTTTAAATTATACAAATTCGCCCCTCTCCAGGTTCGAAAAAAAAAAAGAAAAAAGAAAAGTGGTTGCATGACCTACACCTTTCTATCCACGAAAGGTGGGGTTGAAACTATAAAATTCAACAATTTCGACAAAATATGTCAACAAAATTTGGTTTCTTGTCTTATAATTGATCTTTTATTACTCAACATGAATATAGGAAACATGTTTATTTATATATATTTTTCATGCTGCCTTTTGCCTTGTATGTCCGTAGAAATTAATATTGTAGTTTATACTTTTTGTTAACGCCAAATTCAAACCCACCAATTCAAAGGTGACAATTGGCAGAATATGAAAAGGTGGGATCAGCCAATCAAAAGAGAGCGTGTGGCAAGAATTGAAAGGAACAAATGCTGGATTATAAGAGGTGCCAAGTAACAATTCGCGACCTCAATTACATTCTAAGTTGAAGAGCAAAGCTAAGAGTGCAACCGTTTCAAGCAGTTACAAAGAAACAGTTAAAGTTTTGGAATTCAAATTCATAGATGTTAGTATAATGTTGGAGATCATGGAGGTGAGGAAGTAATTGGTGCGAATTTGAAGGGCATCTATAAATAGTCAAAGTGAAAGACAGAGAGACCCCGACCAAATTTAACTTAGAATTAGTTAGTTTCTTATTTTTTTTTCTTTTTTTGCTCTGCACATTTTCCAAAGCTCATAATCAAATTTTAACTTCCTTTTTCTTTTTTTTTTCAAACGTCGTTAAATGTTACAAAAAAGTGACGTTTAAAAAACGGTGTCGTTTTGTTAAATAAATATGCGACGTTTTATAAAACGTTGTTAAATGTTACAAAAAAGTGACGTTTAAAAATGCGTCGTTAAAAAAACAATAAATATGCGACGTTTTATAAAACGTCGTTAAATGTTACAAAAAAGTGACGTTTAAAAATGCGTCGTTAAAAAAACGCCGCCTAAACCTCTTTTTCCTGTAGTGTATGATTCTTATGTTTGGGTTGTGTTAGAGCATTTTCAATAAGGATAGTCAAAATAGTTATTCAAAATTTCACTTTGCTATTTTAGCTAGTTATTTTTTTAATATATACTTCAACAAGGATATCTATTTTAGCTATCTTTGATTAAAATATTCTTATACCTTAACTACCTTCTTTTCTATCTAAAAAAAAAAAAAAAAACCACTAACTTCTTTCAAATTATTTTTTTTTCATTCTTTTAAATATAATTGTATTTTTGTAAAAGTTACATTTTTCTACTATCGTATTTTTCAAAAGGTCACATTTTTGTAAGAGTCATATTTTGTCAATGGTCATTTTTTTACAACGGTAGTATTTTTCTAACGGTGATATTTTTGTCATGGTCATATTTTTACAATGGTCATATTTTTTTACTTTTCAATTATAAATAAAACATTCCATCTCATTTAATCTTACCCAAAACCCAATTTTGTACTTCATCCAAACTTCCATATCTCTCCTATGGCTTCCAATTTTCTTTATGATATGCTTGTAAATAACTCTGACTTCTTTGAATCTGATAATGATTTGGAGATGCTCAAAGTTGTTACTATGGATGAAGAACTACTACATAATGAGATAAGATCAAACTCACGTCGTGGTTCTGTTCGAGGTTGCAAAGTCATTTATCGTGACCATATTCAAGGTCATAAAAGGCTTTTTCTCAACTATTTTGCTGAACTACCTGTATATCTTCCTGAGTGTTCATGAAAGAGGTTTCGGGTAAAGCGTTCACTTTTTCTTCGAATTCAATCCGCAGTAGAAGCGCATGATCCATACTAAATTGTGCTAGAAAGCTTGGTTTGTCTTCTCTTCAGAAGATAACTATTGCACTTAAGATGCTTGCTTATAGAGTAGCCGCTGATTTTATGGACAAATATGTAAGAATTAGAGAAAGCATTGCAATAGAAAGCTTAAAATATTTTGCTAAAGCAATTGTTGATATTTTTTCTAATGAGTATTTGAGGTCACCAAACAACAATGACATCGCTAAACTACTAGCGGTTGGTAAAAGTCGTGGATTTCCTGGGATGTTGGGGAGCATTGATTTTATACATTGGAAATGGAAAAATTGTTCGATTACATTGAAAGGTATGTATATTGGTCACATTCATGAACTAACAATTATTTTGGAAGCTATTGTATCATATAATCTTTGGATTTGGCATGCATTTTTTGGATTACCTGTGTCTCATAATGATATCAACGTGCTAGAAAGGTCTTTTGTATTTACCGAACTAGCTCAAGGGCGTGCTCCTCCAGTCAATTACACCATCAATGGTAATGAATATAAACCGAGATACTATCTCGCCGATGGTATACATTCACAATGGTCAACATTTGTGAAAACAACTCCTTCTCCTTAAGGAAATAAGAAAAAGCTTTTTGCTGCAGCTCAAGAGGCGACAAAAAAGGATGTAGAGCGTGTATTTGGAGTGTTTCAAGCACGATTTGCAATTTTGCATCAACCGGCACATTTTTGGAATACTAAAATGCTTAAATATATTATGAAGGCGTGCATAATTCTACAAATAAATACGTTGCAATTCTAAATTCTTACTTAATAAAGATAACGTGTAGAACTTCAAATAAGCAGCGGTGGGAGAAGAATTGGTACAAAGAGAATTACAAAATCACAAATCCTTCCTGGACATATGACTTTTTACCCCTTAAACTTGATCTAATTAACCTATTATCTCTTTACTACTGAAAATATAAACTTAAGACCAAAACAAAACTTTAGGTCCCAACTAACACTTTAAAGCCCTACCAAGGCTGGATTTGATTAACTGAATCCCTTAAGAGAAGAAACATCATGAAGAACACAGCAAGCAATTTCCCACCTATATAGTTTTACGTCTATTACTTATAGATTACATATTCAGAACAGAAACTTAAATTTTCCTTAAACTTCGACACCCAACACCCAATTAAGCAGGTAAAATAAAAGTTCAAGTGATAATGCAGATTACAAAGGACATTAGAGGTTGCACATGCACCAAACATAGAGAGTTTTTCATGTCATCATTCAATAGAAAGCATAACAAATGCACAAGGCTCATGTTTCAACTAGCAGAACTAAAAGCAATACCATATATCAAGTTTCTAGCCTACTAGACAAAAGCCAAAATACCATACATCAAGTTTCTAGGTAACAGCAAGCATTATGAAAAACAGAGCTTATAGCTAGCTGTAACAATTTGAATAGTACTGGAAATCCTACAACAACTTCCTATTGCTACTGTTATTACTAGGCATTTTGTTGCTGCTATTAGCAGCTTGCTGCTACTACTACTTTTGGACCATAGTTTGAAAGAATCAATGGAATTCATTCAATAGAGCAGAAATTTAAAGTGTTCTGTTTATATGCATCTCATCTGATAGGATAAAATAATTGGGTATAATTTACAATCTCTATTCTAACAGAAATTACAACAAACATATGGTGTGCAATACAAATACATAGTATTTCCTCTTTTACAAGTAGTAAATTCATGACTTATTGATTAAGAACATGGAGCCATAACTTGTTGCAACCATTTGTGAAATGAGATTACAAATAAGGGAAGTCACAAAGCGAAGGAGAAAATATACATTCACATGGATTTCCTTCTATAATCACAAATGACAAAGTAATGTGTAATATTTTTGCCAAAATCAACAAATAATGAAACAAGAATGCAACAATCTGAACATTTGCTTTCATATTCTCCAATTTCTTATCCACTATTCATGGTGAAATGACAACTTATTACCTCCCTTGAGCAGAAAATTTGAGAAAAAGAAGATGAGAGGGTTTATGAGTTTTGGAATACCTTCTCTATGGATTTGTTGGGGAAGTACTGACAGAACTTTTAGCACCAAAATGAGGAAAAAACTTTACCGTCAAAAACAAAACTTAGGAGACAAAAACAAATAAAAAATTGAAAGGCCCATGAACAGTACCTCGCTTGTCCTAGCGAGGTACTGTAGCTCACAACCATCTTAGCGATGCTTGAGCGAGTTTGCTGGAGTAGTCTTTCACCGTTCCAAGTTTGCTTCTATGGCTGAAAAGAGAGAATGACTATATTGCTGGAGATGCTCTTCACACTGACAATGGAATGTTTTAGGAAGAAAGTTAAAAATTAATTTTTTGTTTTTAACTTTTTTAATTCTTTTATGTAAAATATAATGTGATTTAAAATAGATTAAAAACTGTGGGTGTTGATTTCCGATCACACTGCCAAACTAGTATTCAGTTAGAGAGCACCGACAGAATAGATTAAGCCCAAACGACCTGTCACAGAAAGATAAGAATCTCGCGGTGGTTCGTCTACTCGGGGGCACTCCGACGATCAAGTCAGTAAAATATCTCTCAAAGATAACTAATAGTGTTTAACTCACTATCCAGAGCATAAAAGACAAACCACCCATGGGGGTGTCTCCCTTTTATAGCCAACACAATCCTAGTCCCAATAGAAGCCTAGCTCTAATGGACTTAGTGTGAAGCCCCTGAAATATGTATTTACTTTAAAAACCCTAATGTTTGAATTATTTTCTTAAAGTCCCTCGTTTACTTGAATTAATTCGAATCTCGTCAGTTAGCATTACTATTTTTATTTTTATCGAAATAGAAATTTTCCTAACCGGATTAGATTCCCTAACCTAATTTAATTCTACCTAAGTTACATGTATTTAACTCCAAGCCCTCACTCTTTATTTAAATTCAAAACTTGCCCCAAAAACTAGTACTTGTACCTTGAAGTACCATCAATCTTGTTATATATGTATATATACACCTAAAGGAGTGTGCCTAGAACCTAAAATGATTTAAATAATAACCCCATCACACTTCCCCAGGGAAGAGCCAATTTTCAAGAACCACCATCATGAACTTCTAGGAAAACACAACCTAGTGACCTAGACCTAGGATGCAAAATCCAAGAACTAGTCTCATTACAACTAGGAGTTGCCTAAACCAATGAACAAACCTCCCAAAATCCCTTCCATTCCTTTAGAATTCAAACAAATCCTAACATTTCCATCCATATCCAACTAAGGGACTTTTAGGACTTTTTGCCTCAAAGGTTTGTCTATAAATACCAACACACCCCCTAGCTTGCAAACAAACACAACACACTCACTCACACACACATTTTGGTTAGAGAGAGAGAGAGAGGAGAGAAAGAAAGAGAAGTCTAGAGGAGAAGAAGGAGGAAGAAGAGAGCTTCTTGTGCAAAGCTTAGTAGGTAAGCCATAAACACAACCTTCTCTTTCATTTTCCTTTTTTCAATACATATTTCTAAGGGTTCTAAATAATGTTTTCAGATCTGTTATTAATGAGTTCTTATGTTAAAAATGCTAAGGGTTGAGTATTGATTCCATCTCTCTTGTATTTTCTCCATTTTGGCACAAAACCATCTTTTTTTTTTTATACCAATCTCTCAACTTTCCAAGGGCACTCTTTCAAGAAAATTTTCTGAGTTAAATATATGTTATTTATCATGTTTTCTTCACAAAAGAAATGAAAACTTTCCCTTAGTGGAACCCTTTCCTCATAAAACTTCTTGTTTTGGGCATAGTACCTTAAAATCTATTTTTGCAGCCCACTTCCAGAAATTCTAGAAAAATGTACAAATTTTTTGTGGACCTCTATTTTATGTCAAAACATTCCTTAAGATGTTAGATTTTAACTAAAATTGGTTTCATCGAAAAACATCAAGCGGTTTACAAGAAAATCAAATTTTCGTAACGGTCGACGGATCTGGACAGATTCTGGACAGCGCTGGAATATTTTCTAAATAACTTAAAATCTGGAAAACCAATCCCATTTCCGAAAAGTGTTCTAGAAACTAGATCAAATTCTCTACAAACCATAAGGAGACCGAGTCCGGTGGAAGATTTAAAATAGTCCTTTTATCTCAATCTTCATGTGACATTAAATCTAGAAACTGTGTTTTGTATGGATGTTTTATGCCCTTGAATTCATGAAATTGCCTACTTACATATGAGCATATCTTGGCATGTTATTATATGTATTACGGTTATGTTATTTATCTTCCTCACTTTATGGATGCATGTTCGTGTGGATATTATTGTCTTGTAAGTTGGATTAACTTGATTTAAAACATTTAATTTAACGGAAACCTAATGGGGAGGGTATTGGGTCTTTGAGCTCTTGAATAATGTAAAGATGAGAAATGTGATATATGGATTGTTGGGATGCGTTCCCTATTTGAAAATTTAAAGTCTTGTGTAAGTGATTTTTTCGGAACCCTTGAACGGAGCGGTTGTATTCGGACCCTAGGTGGTTTGGTGTAAGGAGGGATTTCGGGCAAGGCCCTATTTTACCGTCTCTGTAACAACCCTCATTTTAACTTAGTCATACTTGTATACATTTATGGATGATCTTGTTTTAATATGTGCATTTGCAAATCTTGTCTTGTTTTGCTTGAATGATTGCTTGCATGCTTTGTTCTTGTCTGGCGTGTTGCCGAGGTCATCTTAAGCCTAGACGCCTTCGAGACCTTTATCACTTAGAACTATCTTGGAACCCCTTTGGTTGACCTCCATCTTCACCCTGGCATATTGGCCGAGATGTCACTATCTAGGCCGAGGTGCGCGTCGCCTAGGCCGAGATGTGCATCATCTGGGCCGAGATGTTAATATCTAGGCGTCCTAGATCCTTGATCCTTGCATTAGTTTGCAAATCTTGTCTTGTTTTGCTCGAATGTTGCTCACGTCTTTGTTCTTGTCTAGCGTGTTGCCGAGGTCATCTTAAGCCTAGACGCTTTCGAGACCTTTATCACTTAGAACTATCTTGGAACCCCTTTGGTTGACCTCCATCTTCACCCTGGCATATTGGCTGAGATGTCACCATCTAGGCCGAGGTGCGCGTTGCCTAGGCCGAGATGTGCATCATCTGGGCCGAGATGTTAATATCTAGGCATCCTAGATCCTTGATCCTTGCATTAGTGATTTTGTTCCTGGAATGGTATGACCTAGACCGAGGTGTGGCACATCTAGGCCAAGGTGTGGCACAGCTTAGTCAAGTGTTGTCCTTCCAAGCCGATGTCATTGTTATCTTACTTGCCGAAGCTTTGCCCTTAGCCGAGATCATCACTTGCCGGAGTACTCTTGCTGTTTAGCTTGTTGAATACACCTTGCCTTGGTCTTGTCTAATCAGTCAGTCACCTTTTTGAGTAGAGCCAATCAGCCAATGCCACGTGTCTCGACAGAGGGATTAAGTCAGTGATTGTCGTGAGAAACATATCATTTTTTCTATCAAATCTTGCCTTTTAGAGAGAGAAACTCTAGGAAGAAGAAGGAGAAGTTTGAGCAAGAGAGAGTGAACTTCCAAGCTTGATCGTTGGAGCTTGAACCGTTA